TCATAAAGCACATTGAGCCATTTCTTCCACAGAAAGGAAGCACGCTGCTTCAGCTTGAGTTTGTAGAGCACAACTGAGCCAATGTGACAGTTGTTTAATATTTCATCGGTCTGAGATGTCCTGAGGGAAACCTGGCTGGTACTGGATAGATCTGAAAAGATTTGAAAGAATACTACACTATTCTAGAGCACGTTTAACCCAGGAAGACAAGCTGGTTAATGTTTGACAGGAGTAGAGACTGAATTAGGATACTGCTTTATGAAGAGTCGGAGTATAGCTTGACTTGCACTAGACAAGAAACAGAAACTAGATGTACAGTATAGAGCTGCAAGATATATATCGGTACTATTTGGTTATAGCTGAAAAGAAAGATTTTGTAAATTTCTCTCTAAATTATCCAAATCAGGTTACACTTTAGTTTAAGGTGACGTAGTTACATTTTACTAACTCAAATAAGTACTGAGTAATATTAATTAAATTACTATAGAGTTATGGTCAGGGTTTGGTTTAGGGTTAGTATAGTAACTTATGCATAGTTTACAGTGTTTATTACTAGTAAGTACACCTTAAAATAAATTGTTACCCAATTTAATAACACTGAAAATGTTAGGCTATATATTTAATAAATCTCAAAATGAGTACCGGTATCTATTTTTCATACTGTACATTATAAGATGCAAATTAACTTGTAGCATTTGATTGATTAAGATTGATTATAGTTTAAAGCATTTATCTGCAATTTATTTAGACAAGACTAAATAAATTCATGTTAGCCATTTATTACTGGCATAAATTAAACTAAAACGTACAGTACATTGATGTTATCTTCTAAACTGTACAAAGATGAACAAACATGTGGTTTTGGCCTTGAAAACGTGGTAGTAGCTTTCATACAGGCTGTTTCAACTCATAGGGGTCAACTGAGAACAAATACACTATTACAAAGGACAATGGGTATGTTCTTCGCTACTGAGTAGAATAAAATGGAGGCCTCTTTAGAATGATTATTTATTACCCTGAGATTGTGTCACTAGTGTGCGAAAATTCCCTGAACAGCCCCTTTCTCCTCTCCCTGGTTACTCTACACCTCCCTAGCCCTGAATTAAGGAGTGGAGATGTTCTGTCTTGATGATACATGCCCGGAACCTCCTACAAGTTTTGACTCATGTTAAGAGAAGCTGCTTCTTCACAGGAAAAGTGGTTTTGATGCAGAAACGTACAACACATAATTATTTTTTGACTTCACACCAAGAATATCACACGAATGCTTGTTAAACTGATCAAATCACACTTAATTTGGGGTTTGCATCTTCCTCTACTCGCTACTATCACAGAAACAATTATTCATGTTATGCAGTGTTAAACTCACTTTTCTCACTCTGTCTGTCAGGATATGACGGTCTGAGGTTAGTTTTATATTGAGTGGAATTTGACTCCCCAAATTCCACTCAATGAAAAAAACAAGGGGGAGGGGGCAAGAGGGCCTACTATGTTCCTTTGTGACTGCTCAGTGTTAATTCAGTATGTCTGTGCTGTGCTGGTCTTGAGAGTGTTTACTGACATCTGAGGAGAGCTTTGTTAATATTTCATGAGAGCTGAGCTGACCGCACCAAGTACGGAAAAGATATCAGTGTGCAAAAAGATAGACAGGTAATTAAATGTGAATCACACTTATGTTATACCGATGCTAACACATCGTTTCAGTCTGAGTATTAATTAAAGCCCGTTCACAACAAGAATTATAACTATGAAAATAACTATAAAATGAAATACTGTAGATGTCTGATAGGTCCTTTACATTCAATCTTCAATCACATCATTTACTTTTATGGCACAAGCTGATTGGCCTCTGCTGATTCTGCAGCCAAATGCCACTATTTAAATGCTTGCTCAACATTTAAAGAGTAAAATTCAGTGTTCACTGCAATCTGGCTATCAGAGTTCATCTGAACCCTCTACCTCTCCCAGCTCCACCTGTCTAGATCTGCTACGGGATTTATACATGCCTATTCATGCAGCAGCATATCTTACACACTCACAGCAACGTGTCTGTGAATCTATTGGCAGTATAGCAAATCTATACTTGCTTTGCAGCAGCTAGTTGGCCAAGACCAAATACATTAACATTGTCACATCCATTAACATGCTAAAATTATTCTGACAGTTCTGTAGTAGTTCATGATTGAACTACATTAACATCCACACCAGTGGACAATCATGTTTATTATAAGTGTGGGCTGCAATTATGTTGCCTGCTGTTTTAAATTCCCATTTTAAATTTGAAATGTGATTCCAATGATGTTCCTCCATGTTGTTGTCATTATAGTTGTGGTGTGGACTTCCCTATTCTCATAGAATCAGAACCATATAGTTATCGTTAACATCCTTGTTGTAAACAGGCCTTTACAAAGAGTTTCAGGTTTATAAAACAATTAACCTAGAAAAGTCCTAAAGAGCAATTGGCTTGGCCATGTACAGATTATGAAGCTATCAGACAATCTTATCCATCTCAGCCAGCTGGCCATTCACCAAAGATTTCATATAGCTAGGATCTCACTCCACGTTCATTAAAGATACATGGCACATTAGGGATTATAGATATGGAGAGAGTGTGTAAAGGAACACTCTGTGCCGCATATGCTGGGACTAAAGCCATAAAATGCAGCAGACATGAATTATACAGAACGGTAGAGAGGTAGAAAGAGAGAAGTAAAGATAAAGATGCTAATTGATCTAACAAAACTGTAAAATACAAGCAAAGGGATATCCTAAGCGAATGGTGCTTATGGGTAATCTCCTTTGCCCCCTCTGAAAGTGTATTTATGAAGAGGGGATCACGCTGCCCCTTGCTGTCCTAATGTAGGACAATATCAGGGATTTGTGCCTGTAGGGGGATTAACGGCTATGTGTGAGCCCAAATGCTGTAAATCTCATCCTAAAACCAATGCCAGTCAGTCGGTATAGCAACCAGCTGGCCCCTGACTGCACTACTACTGTGCACAACTCAGGAACTCCCACAAAGAGCAAATGCCACATCCTGTCTGTGTTAATATCTTCTACAACTGACCCATATAAATATATAAATAGACTGTCGTATGGTCTTTCATCTGTCCATATTTATTTCACATTTTGTGAAAAAAAAAAATATATATATATATATCCTTGTCTCGCAATCATTCTCCTTCTGTGTCCCAGTAGGGCATGTTGATGCCATCCAAAATCCAACTGGATTCCAATTTGGCCCAACACTGGACTCTGTAATGCTGGCTAAATCCATGTCATTAAGTTTTGCGGAATTTAGTTGCTTCTTTAAGAGATTACCACTCAGAGGACATGGCTTCTTGCTTCCTTGCTAACCAGACAAACAGGAAAGGGTGTATCATAAGGAACGTTATTCCCTCCGAGGCAGATTATACACAAATTATTTCTTTTACATGTAGTAAACACTCATAACAACCTAAGTGGAAACTTAATTATGAGAAAACTTTGATTGTATCGTATTTCTTCAGATTGAACGAACTAGGTAAGTCAGCTTTTCAGCTGTGCTCACAGTTGGGAAGTAAATAAAACATGGTGTACAGCCCCACCCAGACACATGAACTAACATAAGACCCAGAGTAACAATGTAAAACAAAGAGGCATAAATAACTTATGAAATAGACCTGTTATATTAACTTGTTTTTCTTTTATTTCACCATACCAGGGTCTATAACACAGTTTGGTTTAAATGTATGACCTGCAAGGTGTTACAGGTGTGGCAAACAGACCAGCATTCAAACCATGCTGGTTTGGTCAAAACCAGTGGTTATATATATGTCAACAGTACACATCAACATCAGCTGTTTCCAAACAAAAGCTATACATTGTATAACCTCACAAAATATAATCAAATACAAAATGCTGAGTGTCTTAAAGGGATAGTTCTCCCAAAAAAACATCTCTCATAATGTATTAAAAAGTCGAAGAAAAAAAATATTTCGTACACAACATTTTCTACAATGTTTCAGTAAACAAAAAAGTTATAGGCCTACTACAAATTTAAACTCTAAAAGCTCGCGAAAAGAAATAGTCTTTGCATGAGAAGGAAACCATAGCAACAGCTGCTCTATTCCTGTTTGTATCGGACAGTACATCAATAAACGTAAGTATTCTCATTATTTCAAGTTAACATACATTTACAAATAAAAAAAAGGTATTTTTTATTTTATGTTTTTAAATGTCTTTAGAATAGATGACGCTTGGCTAACTTGCGCTAGAGGCGCCAAAAGACATGTTGTGTTGCGCAAGAAGCGAGAAGAGAAATTACTTGGGGGAAATTATTTTGAAAAGTTGACCTTTCACTGCTGACAGCCTCAGTCGCTAACTACTTTTTATTGCACTTTAAAATGAAAGGTAACAGATCTCCCTTTGTATCCTCAGAATAACAAAACTCCTACAGGTTTGGAAGGGGGGGGGGGTATAGTTCACCATTAGATGAACTATACCTTAAAATCTATCGTACAGCACTTAAAATTTTGATTTATTGTTAATTTGTAAGACTGAGTAGGCCTATCATTAGGCTATTACGTATGTTTAATGTCAACAGTTGACATTGCGAAAGTATGGGGGGTTGCTTGTGTTTCTTTGTTGGGAACAAACACACCCGCCTAAGTTATAGGCTATACAGCTGAATGTTTATATAAACTATGCGGTGTACGATTAAATAGCGAGTATTTAGGGACATGCACTAAAAGTTTGGATCAGCTGTAACCAGACACACGGAAGTAGAAGCGAATATCGCACAGGTAGGTAAACCAACACCGACAACCCAGATCGCCACAATAAGCCACTTTCCCAAAAGAGCTAACTTATCCACGAATTAATGGCTGCTTAATAGGATCGATGTTATAGACTGGATTAAAAACAGATAAAGTTGAACTATAACAACAACGGCACAAAATCACAATAAAACAAGCTTCTTCTCACTAAATATACGATTATAAAATCCGATTTTAGTTTACCTTTAAACGCTCGTCTCCGAACACTGCTGCTGACAACGATCCAAGAGTCTATTAGTTTTCCCCACTGACCGCACAGAGTTCCAGGGAGTGCGACACTTTCTCTTGCATTCAGATGAGGCTGAACAATGTGCGTTGGGGAGAGAGGGCAAAGTCTCCTCCAGAGCTCCGCCCCCGATACTATGCGAGCCCCGCACCACACCCAAACCCACACCTCCGCACTCTTACCAACACTCACGGGACACTTTCACTGAAAATCTGATTGTTTTAGTCGCTCATCATTGGAATATAATTAAAGTGCATCACATATGAGGTTTAAAACATGCATAATATATAAACTTTAAAGTATTTGATTGGTTTCGGTACAATTTTTTTATAGGCTACATAAAATATTTTTAAAGCATCAGGAGGCTCAGTAAAAGCATGGGAAAGGATGTCTGTAATGGCAATAAAGATGATTAATTGCAATATAGGCTACAATAAAAGTATACGGTAATACAATTTTACTGTGTTTGGTACCTATAGGTCTATATAGGCTACTGTATTTTATATATATGGTAAATGGTTTTGTCAAAACCAGTTTACCATATATATATATATATATATATATATATATATATTGTGATTGAAGCAATGGCTGGAAGGCGTATTTGTCTCTGTCGTTTCTGGTCTGTGATCATTGATAAGTATTTGTTTCTGCTTTCATAATCTGTCATAAACTTTTGTGCTTCTCAAAAGCAGTGAGATCTTCTACCTGTAGGGCATATTCCCATGCACATCAGCGACTGCGGCCGCACCTCGACATTACGACATTCAGGGTGCTGCGTTATGACTCATGTTATTCTCAGACAATGCAATATGATGACCTGCTGTCTAATCACCTCTTAAACTACACTCTTGTCCAATTCATTTAAAGAGCTTTTGTTCTACACTTCTCAGGCTTCAACCAATTTTATAGGTTACAGTCCCCAAAAGTTAAATCTACACTTTTTAGTAATATTAATTATAAAAAAAAAAAAAAAATCTCCATTTTGTTTGTTTATTATCTACTTGTCAGAGTTAGGAATCAACAATATTGTATGCCCCCATAAAAGATCTCTTGAAAGACCAAAAAGTCTTGAATTAACAGATTTCACATATTTGTATTTTTGGAATATATAGAGACAATGAGCGCTCGTGCAGTTCTAAATAACTAACTCAACAAATCTGTCACGCTTCAAAAACAAACTCTGGTGTTGGCTTTGAAGACTGATGCATTTGGCAATGATTGAATTGCTGTGGAGTGAGTGATTCAAATTACTGTTTACCAATGTGCAAAACATAGTTTAGAGGAAAAGGAGGGGGAGTGAAATGCAAGAAAGGGGTGGAGGAGGGAGAGGGGTGTGGCTGGGACACTCCTTTGTGCTTAAATCATGACAGCTGTAACAATAGAAGTCAAAATCAATTGGTCAAAAAATTAGGAAGTTTAGCAAAGAATAAAAGTACATGTTGGATTAATGTAAACTGCTTTGGATTTGAAAACTACTTCTGCTTTTTGACACATAACCAGGAACAGACGTGCGAACAAAGAGCTCAAAGGGCTGCTTTCATTACTACTGATCAATACTACTGATCTATTCATGATGATTCTGAACTGGACAGTGCCAAATGGATATTTAAAAACAATGATCTTAGAACCGAGTGAAGAAGTCAAGTCAAGTCCCCTTTGTTTAAATATACAGATTGTTTCAAAGCATCTTTACAGGGATAAACAGGAAAATAATGATTCAATAAACGCACCTTTGGTGCTCCGGCGCTAATGATTCAAACAGAGTCAAATTCTGCTATTAAGCAGCTCTAAAAATACTATTTGTCATTGTTCATTGTTCAGCTGAGGTCAGTTCAGTGTTGATTCAGTTCGGTTCAATAACAAACATCATCAAATATGAAACGAGTTCAAATCCTTTATAAAGCAGCTCTGTAGAAAACAGCACTGTCAGAGAAAAGGTATGCGCTGTCACTGGGGCAGTACAAAAACAAAAAGGTACTAATATGTACTTTTAAAGTATACTAATATGTACCTTTAAGTACTAATATATGCACACACACACACACACACACACACACACACTTATAATCTCTCTGGTTTGTGGCTAGTAGTGTTGTTTTTCATTGTTTTTTGTAATTTTTTTAATAGTGTTTTTTTAATAAGTATATAGTTTTATTAATTTTTATAAAATTTAATTGATTTAATTTAATTTTTATTTTTGTTATTTATGTAAATCAAGTTTTAAAAAATGTAATGGTTTTAGTTACAGTTTTAGTTTTATTTAATTATAATATCCCTGGATTGTGGTCAATATTTCAGAAAAGCCTTATAGTCTGAATGGAGGTCAGAGGTCAGCATTCCCAAGCTGCCTTTCATGCTTAGCTCAGGAAGCCAAAATAGCTCAACATGTGCAGCAGACACACACATGTTTCCGCATCCACTGCTCCACTGAATTCAGCTCGATACTCTCTAGAGAGGATCACTGAGAAAGACATTGTATAATAAACAGCCTCATTGTTTTAAAGAGAAAGAAGCCATATGGACATGATGCTTGGAGGATCACGTTCATCCAAACCAGTGTATTTAACACGAATGAAAGCAAGCAGTATTGTAAAGGCTATCTTTGTTAAATGATTAAGCGGTGAAGGTTTGTTTTGCAGGGGACTTCTAATTTTTATAGATCAGTTAATGCAGATGCTAAGTAACACAATTTATAAAGTTTTATTACTATATAATTATAATTATGTTATAACTATATGTTTCATTACTACATTTCAAATTACCATTCAATTGTGACTATACAAGGAATAAAATATTTATATGTCAGGACTGAGCTTGAGGGTTAATCCAAAAACACTTTATTGGTCACACAGCGGATGCAGAAACAAACAGATATATACTGGTTATGATGCATGATAATAATGGAAGTCCTTCTCTTACAGAGAGCAAACCGCGAAACACGAGGGAGAAGCACAGGTAAGTTTGCTGCAATTCTCAGGTACGGAAGATCAGGAGATGGCAGTAATGGGTCTATTTTCTTGTTCAAGGCTAGACAGACTGAACTGAGGTGTGTGTTTATCAGATAGTGAGGTGTGTGCAGTGATATAGGAGTCGGTGATCTGAACTCATTGAGTGGTGATCATTGAGTGGTGCTGAGAGACAACATACAACTCAGTAAGTCAGTAAGACTGCTTTTAAAAGAAAGATGCTCACCAAGGGTAAAAATACAATAAATATTGTGAAATATAATTAAATATTTGTATCGTTAATATATTTTAACTGTAGTCTTTAGTGACATGCATGATCATTTAGAATGTATTTAAAAACTGTGATACAATGACCTGAAATGCAATTTTAATTCAATAAAATGAATAATATTTTTGAAGCCCAAACAGCAACGAATACACGAACTGATAAAATGTATAGGCCTACTTTAAATGTAGGCATATAGTAAGCTTTGGATAAAACAGTCTGACAAATGCATAGATTTATTCCATAGTATAGGGTGAATTCAGGTGGGAGACCGGGGAGTGTCGGCTTGACAAGTCAGAAAAGAGCTGTGGTGATGTCATCAATATCATACACTCACATCTCCTTTTTGAGGTCACAGAAGAAGTGGCATGTGATGTGACAGTGAGCAACGTTTTGTTTATGAAAACCCCCCTGATTTTGAGGAAAGTACATTTTTTATGAAGATTTTTTTTTTCAACCTAGCAATCATTGTATTGTAGATACAATTATTTGACTTACATAACCCAAAGTAGCCTAACCGTTTCTCTAGTTTAATTTGATGCATTGCATTCATGCTAACTCCAAACCCACATGCTAAAACAGTTAGATGTTATGGCTGTTTGGGGTGGGGATAGTTGTGTAACAGTTCATTAAAAATATTTCAACCAACCCCTTATGATGATTCCGATGAGTCCATCAATCGCATCCTCCTTTGAAGTCACATGAGTTTTTGTTGTTATGCATTGAGGGATTTATGTGTTTTCATCTTTATGCGCATGACTTCTTACCGGATTTTTTTTTTTTTTACTCTTTAACGCAGAAACCCACATAAAATTTCAATCCACTTAAATGGATCTCCTGATAGATCTGAGACACTGTTTTTAGATGAACAGCTGAGCATTCCTCAGTGATGGAGCGACCTCTGATGGAGCACGAGCACAGCGTGCGTTCACAGATCTGCCCACTGGCTCCTGACAGCCCGAGGCGCTTCCGACAAACTTCACTCCGGGCCAAAGACATGAGCGATTCATGGACAAAGGAGGACAAACAAGATAAAGTAAGTTTCACATAATTGTAAATAAACTGTCAACAGAATGAACTACTTGGCAGCTGATTCGTGAAACGAATAAGTTGGACAGAGAAGAGACTGTTCTCGTTGTTGGGCAGGGAGGAACTTTTCATCTCTACTCATGCATTTGATTACAAACATCTAGTTCACTTGAATGTGATGTTTGTTGTAACGGTTAGGAGGAGGATTCAACGCGCCTTTGCTGTTTAATGCAGTCTATGTGATTTCCCCCACACTTTTTTTATTAAACTTTTTTATATCCGTCTTCTGCACTTCCTCATTACCATTTTTAAGTTATGGACAAGAAAAAGTTGCAGTGTTTTCTGTGTCCACGCTGCGCTTTTTAATGGAGTAAACTTGTGGACACATAGGGCATTTCTTACTGGTGCCATCCGCAATGGCAGCTTGCAGTTGAATATGTGCCTGTGTCCAGACTCCACGTTCCCTACGGTGGCGCTGAGCCCTTTCAAAAATACAGATAAAAGTGTTGCTTACAGTGACGTCATTTTACTAAAATAATAAACTATAGCCTACTCAAGAGTATTGTAGTTACGTATTGTTTAGCGAGCAAACATAGACGTGCCCATTAAGTTTGTTTCTTGGCTATGCGACGGTTAAGGGAAGGTTCAATTTGATCGTTTTGCAAACATTATTGAAACGTTACCTTTGAGTGTTCTCTGAACATTCTGAAACAAGTAACTTAACATTTAAGTATGTTAGATGGACATCCCAGTAAACCGTTTTGGGAAAAAAATGTTCCATGAATGATGTAGGCTATAAATAATGTTTAATAATAAAGACCAGACCAGATAACTTTGAAAGACCGTTACT